ACTGTACTGTACTCACTTGTTATTGTTTATTAATCTATTATGTTTCATATACATTTTACTAATTTTCTTTCATCTCTGACACTTCTATTATAAAGGGCGAATAGCGATATTAAAATATTTCTTCCAATTAATTTCCTTTCAATGTGCATGAATCCGTGCACCAGGCCACTAGTAGCTAATAATAAAATAGACTGTAATAAAAGTTTTGTGAATTTGCTCTCATTACTGTACTGTACTCACCCTTCTTGTGAAGACAATAAAATGCCTACTTAGTGAAATGAGGTGAATGAGGTAGCATACAGCTGCTGTTGACCTTCTAACCATATGTCATGTCAGAAGGAGGATCGTCTGCTGCTGGTGGTCCTTGAGCTATGAGGATGTCATGATTGGCTGTTAGGAACAGATGATATGGATGGTTGGAAATTTTTAAATTCTCACCCTAGGATATATTTATATTTTTTAAAATATATTTTATTGATTTTTTACAGAGAGAAAGGGAGAGGTATAGAGAGCTAGAAACATCAATGAGAGAGAAACATCGATCAGCTGCCTCCTGCACACTTCCCACTGGGGATGTGCCCGCAACCAAGGTACATGCCCTTGACCGGAATCGAACCCAGGACCCTTCAGTCCCCAGGCTGAGCCAAACCGGTTAGGGCCCTAGGATATATTTTTATTTTTTTCCAGTGATATTTTTAGAGAGAGTGGAAAGGAGAGGATGGGGGAGGGGAGAGAGAGAGAGAAACATCGATGTGCATTGATTGGTTGGCTTGGGGAATCAAGCCTGTGACCCTTCGGTTCACAGCCGATTCTCTAACCATTGAGCATCCAGACTTGTCATTTAGAATCTAAGCACTTAGGTCTTTCCCTCTCATTCTCCATTTTCCATTTTCAGCCGGCTGCATCTTCTACTCTTTTTGTCACTCTGGAACCTCTATTCCAAATGGTAGACAGAAGAAACACAACCCTCTCAATTTCATCAGTAGATTTTTGGGGAAAAGAGTTTGAAAATAGAAAATTAGTTTCTGGGTTATTACTAAAGTATTTAAAAATATTTTTATTAATGTTTAGAGGCTGGTTTATAAGACCAAGCAACACATATTTGTTATTCTAAAGCAATACTGTAGCGTAAGTGGCTGCATAGCATAACTAACTTTTCTTCCATTTCTTAAATGTATATAAGTAGGCTAATTATCAAGTCTAATTAAGGTGTCAAATCATGAAAGACTAGTATGTTTTAAATTCATTAACTAGTTTTGTTTTTTACTGTCATAGTGGAGAACTAGAACTGATCGAAAATTCAATTGTATTTGGGTATGCATGAGTGTCTTGAAATTTGTGTGATGAAAAGTATTTTGAAGGTAAAAATTTGAGATTAATAAATTTTTCCCATATTTAAGTCATTTTTATATATCCTGATAGTGAATATCATCTTATGCTATGAATTCACTCTCCAACAGATGGCGCTAGCTCTCCTCAAGTAAGAGCTGCTCTGGTCTACTCTTTTTTTAAAGGTACCATGACCTTGAAGATGAAAAGTGATGTGGTTGTATAGAATGTATTGTAAGCATCCTTCTATTGCCCCTGCACTTTGGTTTATTAGACATCATTCCACACAACCCAGTTGGAGAATCTATGGGGTACCTTCTTATGAATTTGATTTCTTTCACTGTAGCTATAGCAAATAATTTTAAAGTTCATTTATATGGTAATAATGGATACTATTTAGCTTTTTCATTAAAGTTAGTTTAGAGAAGGCCTGTCACTAAAAATGGCATTGGAAAAAAAGAAGAAAAAAGAAATAAATTAAAAATGACTTTGGGTCTTGAGAATTTGGAGGTGGGTGTTTCTTCCTAACTTAATTTAACAAGTTTAGTGATGATGTACTGTTGTTAAACATAGCACTAGGAACTGGGAATGAAAAAAAGCTATGCATGCCTCCTAATTCTGAAGGACCTATCCCAATATTTCCCATATGTAAGTCATTTTTATATATGCTATGAGATTTTTGCCATGATATGCTTATTATTTTTCTTTAAATAAGCTCACTTTTACATTAAAAGAGCTTTTTAAAACCAAATATCATGTGGAAAAAGAACATATAAGTTCTGGCCAATTACTTTGATCCGTAAAGTTTCAAATCCTGAGACCTGCTCTTTCTTTTAAAGGGGAAATTACTGGGGTGGTAAACACACAATGCAATATACAGGTGATGTATGGTAGAATTGTATACATGAAATCAGTATAGTATAATTTTTTTAACCAATGTCATCCCAATGAATTCAATTTAAAAAAATGAAATTAATCACACAACAGGAAGCTACTAAAGCTATCCTAGGACCAAACTAAAACTTTCTCCCTAATGTAAAAGGGGAGTAACTTTTATACTATGTAATTCAATATTTAATGCTTCATCAGTGTAACATATAAAACCATGGATAGTACGATCATCAATGGTAAGTGCCCTGTACTTTTGGGAGACATTCTAGCTTGAAAGAGACATGCATGTTAACAAATCATTATTATACAGTTTCATTAGTGCTACATAAAGATATTTCAGAGTACTGTGTAGGGTATGATGGAAACAGATTAGTTTTCTATGGGAAAGGGAGACTGAAAGTCCTTTTAGAGAAAATTGATATCTGAGCTATTTATTGAAGGATGGCTATAAATACCAAGAAATAGAAAAAACATGGCATTTGAGGGAAAGTGAACTAGATGAGCAAAGGCACAGAGTAGTGGAAGTAGTATGGTGTGCTGAACTATAGGGGAAGGAAGAATGAATGCTCACAGGGTTGGGATGGAGGTTAGGAGCTAAGTTTTGAGAGGCTCTATACGTATACCATGCCAAGGAGCTTTGGCTTAATTCTTTTGGTAATGGGACTCCATCAAAAGTGTTTAAGCAGGGTATTAGGAAGATCAGATCTGTGTTTTATAAGGATGATTTTGACAGAAATGCCAAAAATGAATAGGAGGAAGTATGGTACAAGTAGAGACTGGTACAAGCAGATCAGTTCAAAGGTTCTTGCATGTGATATATTTTTCTCTTTAAAAAAATGTTTCTTAAGTCAGACAGAGTAAGACAACTACTGTATAATCTCACTGATATCTGAAATCTAGGGAATAAAAAGCCCTGGCCGGTGTGGCTCAGTTTGTTGGAGTGTCATCCATGCACTGGAAGGTCTCAGATTCAATTCCCAGTCATGGCACATACCTAGGTCCAATCCCTGGTTGGAGCGAGTAAGGAAGGCAACAAATAAGATCCATGTATCTCTCTCACACCGATGTTTCTTTCTCTCTCTTTCTTCCTCCCTCTCTAAAATCAATAAAAAATAAAAAAACAATTTTTAAAAATTGAAGCTCATAGATTCAGAGAACTGGTGGTTGCCAGAGGCGAGGTGGGGGTGTGGTGAGAAGGGGAGGGGTGAGAAAAATGGGTGAAGCTGATCAGAAGATACAAACTTCCAATTATGAGAAAATAAATCCTGGGATATAATGTACAGTATGGTGACTATAGTTAACAATACCGTAATGTGTGATGACCCACGTCCTGCGTGATTCAGGGTTTGGGATCTGGAGAAGGGCCACGCGCAAATGACAGAGACGAGACAAGAAATAATAACTTGAAAATATTGGGGGCCAGGCGGGAAGCCCAACGCAAAGGGAAGGACTTCCCCTTGTGCCCAGGCCTTGCCAACCTTTTATTCAATTTTGGATACACATCTAGCCCTTAGTCAGACAGGCAATTGCGGTAACAGACTATCTTAAAGGTCAGTAAATATTAGAAAGATTTACTCTGAAACTATTTGGTCAGGAAGTAGCTTGAGCCCCCATTGTCTGGACTGAACAATCGGTGCATAGCTCTGGCCATTGCCAGGGCTCAAGGTTCACCAGCGTTCTGGGCTCCTTGTTTACACTTCTCTGATAGTGAAGCCTATGGGTGGCTTCCCACAGTAATGTGTAATTTAAAGGTGCCATAAGAGTAGAGCTTAAAAGTCCTCATCACAAGAAAACGAAAATGTGTAACTATGTGTGGTGATGAATTTTAACTATACTTACTGTGGTAATCATTTTGTAATATATACATATATCAAATTATTATTTTATACAGTGAGTCCTCACTTATATCCTTAGGTTCTGCAACTTTAAGTGAAACAACACATAACAAAACCAGTTTCATCATAGGCTAATGGATATGAACAGGAGTTAAGTTCCTATAGCATCTCATTAACATTATAACAAGATGAAGTTGATTGAAACAAGGAAACGATGTTATTTCAGGACCTGCTCTATACTTAAAATTAATACAATGTTATATGTCAATTATATCTCAATTTTCAAAAAAAAAGGATATTTCTTACCTTTGTCTACTGAAACGGCTTAGAAACAATGACCAGTCCAGTAGCATTTGGCACCCTTAGAGCCTAGGCCAGGGGTGGGCAACCTTTTTGTGAGTGCGTGCCAAAACCAGCAAAATCTCTGACTCAAAAATTCTTCTGCGTGCCAACCCAGAACATGTTACGCCTACTTGATATCTCTTAAGGTGTACATATGTGAAGAACCTTGAAGAAATGATAAAATTCATTTGAGCGACAAAAACACAGTATATGATGATGAAAAATACATTTATTCTTTTTTTTTAAATATATATTTTATTGATTTTCTACAGAGAGGAAGGGAGAGAGATAGAGAGCTAGAAACATCAATGAGAGAGAAACATCGATCAGCCGCCTCCTGCACATCTCCCACTGGGGATGTGCTCGCAACCCAGGTACATGCCCTTGACCGGAATCGAACCTGGGACCCTTCAGTCCGCAGGCCGACGCTCTATCCACTGAGCCAAACCGGTTTCGGCACATTTATTCTTTAATGTATACATATACACTGATAGTCCGACAGAAAACTTTATGACTCCGTTTGATATTATCAGTGGGACTTTTGCTGCTGCATCACTGATGACAGAGATTTTACATCAGGTTTATATTTCGTGACCTTCAGAGATATGCACAAGCTACTACTTTCACCCGTCAGGTTACTCCTATTACGAGACTTAACAAAATTCATCACTGAGAACAAAGATTCACAAGCATATGTGGATGAAATCAAAACACTGGTCGGATCTAGGAAGGCAGGGAGAGTTAAGGCAGAGGCATAGAAATTGTCTATGGTCTTTAAGATAACTTGTTATGTAAAATTATTTATTTATCTAAGATGCACCTACACTAAATTTATCTGAAAAATAAAAAAGTTGATATTAAGAAAAACATTGTAAATGGAAGATTATAAGAGAGGGTTTCGCGTGCCAGCAAAAGTTACTGGCGTGCCATGTTTGGCACGCCTGCCAGGGGTTGCCCACCCCTGGCTTAGGCTATGGTCTCTAAATATCATTTTTTCCTAAAGGGAATCATGACTTTGGAAGAGTGAGTAAGAAATATCTTGTCATATCAGAAAGAAAGAAGCTATCAAAGGCTTCTGGAGTCATGTTAAAGGATCCAAAAGACAATACTGACTAAAGAGAAGACAATTGAGTATCAATAAGAATAATAAGTGCAATGAAGTAAAATATAAAATACTTTTAATTGCACAAATTCATAATTATACTAAAAAATAAACCTAGTTGATTACCTTTTGATCCTAACTTTTCTGTACAAACTTACACCTCAAGGTAACCCAAATGGTTGATGAGGGAAATTTTATTTCTAAAAGTATTTCAGTCAATAAAACAAAGAAGGAATGACCGAATTAGAATATTACAATTTTGTAACCTTGAATGAAATCATGGATCTAGGCAATGACCATAAATGGCTGCTAAATTATACAGAGAAACAAGCAGACTTTATGTGCCCTCCTGAATGAATTCCACATCAGTATACTCTTGCAAAAACACTGAGTCTGGTTTAGCCTCTAGCTCAGTACTATCTAATAGAACTTCCTATGACAATGGAAAATATTCTATGTCTGCACTGTCCAGTACTGTAGCCACTAACTGCATGTGATTATTTACATTTAAAGTAAAATTGTATGACTTAGTCACACTAGCCACATTTCAACTCCTCAGCAACCACATGTAGCTAGTAGCAGCACTATCAACTTTCAGGAAATAAAAAGGACCTTTCATTCTCACTTTATTTACTATATCCATAGCCTCCAAAATATCCTCTTGTCCTCTTTTTTTTTTATTTTTAAATATATTTTATTGATTTTTTACAGAGAGGAAGAGAGAGGGATAGAGAGAAACATCAATGAGAGAGAGACATTGATCAGCTGCCTCTTGCACACCCCCTACTGGGGATGTGCCCACAACCAAGGTACATGTCCTTGACCGGAATCGAACCTGGGACCCTTCAGTCCGCAGGCCGACGCTCTATCCACTGAGCCAAACCGGTCAGGGCTCCTCTTGTCCTCTTTATTATTATTATTTTTGTGATAAGAACACCCAAAATAAGATCTACTCTCTTAGCAATCTTTTAATATTGTCTACTATAGGCCCTATGCTGTACAGTAGATCTCTAGGACTTATTCATCTTGCAAAACTGAAACTTTATGACCAATGACCACTTCTCTCCAGCCATTGAACCAACAAACACTGCCCCATTTTTAATATAACTACCTGTCAGAGGCTCATTTTTGTCATATTAACAAACAGTCGACCCATGAACCAGGAGGTCGTGGTTCGATTCCCAATCAGGGCACATGCCCTGTTGTGGGCTCAATCCCCAGTAGGGGGTGTGCAGGAGGCAGCCAATCAATGATTCTCTCTTGTCATTGATGTTTCTATCTCTCTCTCCCTTCCTCTCTGAAATCAATAATAATAATTTTTAAAAGTACATATTTTTAAATGTTAACTGGTAAGAAACACTTAAGTTGGCTTTCCTATCTTTTCTGATCAGCTGGAAGTTTCCTCTTGTCTGCTCTTTCCTTATTTGTTTTGGTCTCACACACTGTAGCAAAACAAAAGGGGAAAGGCACTTTATGCACAAGACCTTCTGAATGTTGTAACAGTATTTTCCTCATCAGTTTTATTGGAAATTTCTAGTTTGCTTCCTGTTTCATCTTCCATCATGCCTCCAATGACTAGATGTTTATTAATTTTAGACCACACATTTTTAAAATTAATGACTTAATTACATCTCTTACAAAGCATCACTTTTCAACTAACCTACTCTCTTAGTTGGCTGCTTTCTGAAAAATGACGGCCAGTTGTGTTTTTTTTAACACCTTACCCCAGAAGTGATTTCTTAATGTGCTACCTAGTACCTGATATCAGTTAAAGAGATATATCTCTGGAGTTACCTATAAGTATTTTGGGTGCAGAAGGCTAGGGGGAAGTTGTGAACAACCAAGATCCTAAGGTGACACTGTATTTTGCTTGCTCTGTGTGCAGGCAGTGGCAGCCCCCAAGTCATGCAGTGCCAGGGTATGGTTCTGGAGGAAGTTGTTCAGGTTAAATATCTGCATTGTCTTCGTGGATGAAATAATTTTAAAACTTTATTCCTTCCCCACCCCAGCACCTTCTGTTTACCTTTGCTCTTCCCTAATTTTCTTCATTTTATTTTTCACTTGTCTCAAAATATTTTTAAAAATATTTTTATTGATTTCAAAGAGGAAGGGAGAGGGAGAGAGAGAGCTAGAAATATCAATGATGAGAATCACTGTTTGGCTGCCTCCTGCATGCTCCACTCTGAGGATTGAGCCCAAAACTAACTGTGACCTCCTGGTTCCCAGGTCGAAGCTCAACCACTGAGCCATGCCAGCCAGGCTCAAAGTATTTTTTTTCTTCTCATTTAGGTCATGCTTTGCAAGTTTGTGTTGGGGATTTTATTATTTTATCCTAATTAAAAAACAAACAAACCATATTAGTCTGTTGTCTTGCCAAAGAATCTGAAGTCCAAAATAATATCCAGTATCATCTCATATATTTGGCTAGTATTTCAGTCAGAAATAATGTTGCTTCTCCAGAATAAAGAAATCTTTGATTTACTCTTCCCGCCAAAGCACTGGTGAATGAGAATGGACAGCAGTCCAAGGTTGACTCCAGGTCCCAGGGGCAAGGTTGATCCCCAGGTGGGGGGAGGAGGGTTGCACACAACTCCTGGCCAGGTTAGAATGTGCTTTCTTTAATTAGTATAAAACAGTTAAGGTTAGCAGAGCATGATTAATATTTCTTATAACTACAGCTAGTCCCCAATATTCTATTTCTGCCCCTAACACTATTAATAGGAATGGCATCAAGGACAATTTTCAGACTTTGTGCTTCGCTCTGGAGGAAAACAAGAGTATGGCTTCTTGAATTTCTTCATCGGGTAACGTAGAACCAGAACCCAGTTATGTGAAGATCAGCTGCACATATCATGTTACTTGATTTCAGCATCAAAGTTATAAACGAAACCAGTCATATGTTCTTTCAAAGCTATTGCTGATCAAAACAAACATCCAAATCAACAAAATAATATGAATAATTATGACCATAAATCTTCTACTAACTCTCTGATTTGGGCTTTTAAAAAACTCATTTAAAATTCTTAGTTTTACTTTACTCAAATAGACTACACTAGCTGTCTACATTCCAGATGCTATACTAGACACTTGCTCTACTCCTTAGTTTTTATTCTAATGAGAAAACTATACTTCATAGACAGTAGTTGCAGCTTTTAAATAACACAGCAACCTCAAGGGGAAGAAAGTGGAGGGTGGGAGGCAATACCGAAAACTTAAGTATATAGAATCTACAGACCAGTGTTCTTTGTATGGTTTTATGAACTAAAAACCTGGTATAAATGTTTATTACAGGTACTGTTCTAGAAAGGTGGGTGGCGTTTTTCAGGGGGTTACGTTCCACTTGGTCTGTCTCCGATGCCTGTTAACCAATAAAACCGGTCTCATTCCGCTGCTGTGGGAAATAAGCAACAACGGAAAAGTAGTAATAACTTTGGAGTTAATTCGGTATCTGGACTGCTAAGGAGAAGGGAGCTGAGCTCCTGAACCCCTGTTCTTCCCAGCGCTCCCCGCCCCCGCCCCCGCCCCGGGGCGAGCACCTGCGAGCCGAGAAGGGCGGACCACGTTCCCCCCGAGGCGCTGAGGCGGGGGTCCGGGGAAGGGGGACCGGCCTG